GTTGTGCCTCGGAGTGTTGTCGTGGAATGATAGTTCCGGATGAAGCGGCACTGTACAAGTACGGCACAAATGTGTGGCACCGACGACCTCCTATTCCCCCGTCGAAAACCGTTTGATGTGGCTCATTACATACATATAGCTTAATTGCTTTTTAGAATACGTTTTTTTTTTGCGCTTTGATGGCGCTCCCAGGGACGCCATTGGTAGTGCATATAACAAAACTCAAAGCCTTCACCCGCTCTTGCGGTGGGCTTACGTGCAGCGGAGGGAAGCTGAATAGGAAAGGAGAGGAGATGAGATGAGATGAGAGGGAGACGTCCTCAGTGTCTATATTTGAAGAAGATTACATAGAAAGGACCATTTTTAACTTCTTCTTATGAGCGTTTGTGGGACTTAACTATTCAGGCGGTTTTGCGATGTTGTCCACTGCCCTTGTGGTTTATTTAAATTTTTGGAGTTGTTGTGGTTTTTCAGGTTTACCGCTTCCTGCTGCGGTTATTGCGTGGTGTGGTGTGACCCGAAAAGTGGTGGGGCGGAGGATGCTCGGAGTGGCTGCCCAGCTTTGTTGGCACACCAACAGAGTTGCCGGAGGCCCGGAGAGCGAAGTGCGAGTTGCAATTGTCGTTTTGTGATATTCGTTTGTTTTTGTTGTGCGTCCGATGGTTTTGTTTCCTTTGGTCTTGTGTTTGTGGCCTCATCGTTTCGCGGGACAAAAGTCACGCAACAACAAGGCCCAACACGGTGTTGTTCTCTCCCAATTTGCGTTGTTCACAACGGTAGTGGCCGTCGTGGTGGCGGTGGCGCCTGTAAAATGCATTGGTGGTTTAGTGTGCTCCGTTACGACTTACCTTACATACTACTGGGCGTCATCATTGGTTGGAACTCGGATGTATGCTGCTCTGTTAAGGGGCGCTCCATGCTGCCTACGCTCGCACCAGGGGATTATATCCTGTTCCTCCCGTACAATGTGCTCCGTGCTTTTGGGTACCTGTTCAGACATCAGCTTGTGCAGACGGGGGATGTTGTTGTGATGAATATATCGCCAGAGCTGACAGTATGCAAACGTGTCTTGCGCTCCACCGCCGATGCGTCCGTCATGCGAAGGTGGAACGAGGAGCAATTTACAGAGCTTTCACCGGAACAGGTTCCTTTGTTGGAGTCTGATGCTGCCTCTGAAGAGTTTGGTGCGGAGTGTGAGGCAAGAATCTACAACAGTATCGCGGAGTACGCGAGGTCCCGTGATTGGGATGCGTGTCTTGAACGCGTCGAGCGTCCATCTGCGTGGCTCTGGCTTGAGGGCGATAACCCCAAGGAGAGTTTTGATTCTCGACATGCGGGCGCGATGCCGTTTGAGTGTCTTAAAGGGCTTGTTCTCTTAAAGGCGTGGCCCTCGCTTGGGCCCCTACCGCCTCGACCGTCCACTGATAAGTGACAGGAGCGGGGATGGAAAGCAATCGAGAGCAACACATGCACGTGCACGTCTTTCTTCTTTTACTTTGCTGTTTTACCACTTCTGCGGCATGCGGAAACAGCGAGACTGGCAAGGAACGATTCCCACTCTTTTTTTTTTTTTTTTGTCCGGTGCTGCTCTGAGTCTACGTAGGGTCTGTAGCGAAGGGGAAGCGAGAGCCCGCCTTGCTTTTCCCCTGTGGCTATGGGCTCGCTCGCAATGAACGGGGATGTCATTTCTGACGAGCTTGCGTTGATAGGCATAAAAAAAGAGGTCATGCGGTCTCTTCCCTTCTGGAAGTCGTTTGCAGAGCTGCGTGAGGCATACCGCCGGAAACCTAGGGTTGTCTCGTGTGATGTCGTAATTAAAAGTCGTAGGACATGCTCCCATTTCGTGGGCGTTGACGTGCTTTGGGTGCAGTCAGACGTTGTGCTCGTGAGCTGGCGGAGGCCAACGAAAAGAAACCGCACAAAAGAACTTCCCTCTGAGTACGTTGAGATGCAGCTAAGTTTTGGGTCGATGCATTTTGTTCACCAAAACGCCCATGTTAGCGGCGGAGACCATAGCTACGACCTGCAGTCAGTGGTTTGGCTGCAGCGACCGGAACAACTGCAGTGTGTGGCGGGGAACATGCTGCACTTTGCCTTCCTTGTCTACGGTATGCTGCACTTTCCTCAACGGAACAGCTCCGTCACCGCGCCGCGTACCATTATTCCCCCACCTACCTCAGCTGTGTTAGTGCTTGGAATGGGTGGAAATAGCATGGAATGGGGACTTCGTTATATACTGGGGGAAGAGGCGCACATTTACATTGCCGAAATAGAACCCGCTGTAGTGAGCACATGCAGATTTGCTGGTCTTTTTAAGGAAAGCGCGAATACACATCTTTGTCTATGCTCTGCGGAGGAAACCATTCAAAGATGTCCAGAGAAGTGTACTTTCGTCTTCATGGACCTTTTCGAGCCGCTCGGTGGAAACATGATAAATACCATGCCCCTTATCCAACAGGCCTTTGACCTTCTAGCCCCCGATGGAATTCTTCTTATTAATGAACACAGCATTCCTACCGTGGAACACCTTCTACCCCTGCTGCACCTATTTGGGGATTACAATGTGCAGTACATCAACATTCGTGGATGTAATGAAAGCATTATTGCCGCCACAAAACCCGGTAGTGATACGGATGGCTTGGGGAACAGATGCTCCAAGAGACTTGCAGAAGAGGTTCTAAACGCCTTCGAGGGCATCTTTCCTGGCTGGATGCCAGGGAAAGACTACATTAAGCGGTCAAACGTACTCTACGCAAAGTCCCACACGCTGCCACTCCGTGCACGTCAGTGGACATCATAACAAACACAACAAAAACAAGAAAAATGAAAATTACTATAACGCCAAAACAATCACTAATAACTTG